AAACGAGTCATGTGACACCGAGGGGGGCGACGACCCCGACCAACATGATCGTCCACTTGGAACAAAATCAGCCAAGCGCGCAAAGTTGGTACAATGCGCCGACGACGATCGCCGTGCTCGATCTATTGAGGTCAAGGAGGCCTTGGTGAAATCTCAAGTTCATCGCAACAAACTCATTGAAGAACAAAATCTCGTGGCGCTGATTACAATGACTGCCCCGCCGGGAGACGAAGTAGCTGCCAAGATTCTTGATCTCAAAAAGCGCCAAGCATTAAGAATGCTAGAGGAAGATAGTTTTGAAACGTAGTATTAATCACGGTTGTCAAAACTGGATTTTAAAAAATAGCATTAAACAATAAAACGTTAACTGATATTTTTTTGAACCTTTGTGCGCCCAAAGATGCGTCACAAGGTCCGACTGTAGCTGCTTGAATAGTTGAGAATTCCGAGATGCCGCTGACCGAGACGCCATAGCGGCAATGGATCCATCGACGACATCAGCTGCAGCACGCACCACAATCTTGGCGGCATCAGCGGCTGCCATCGTGGCTTGGTCAAACTCCAAGTCTTGCATCAGCTTGTAATTCCCTCGCTCATTTTCAACAATCATATTGTGCAGGATGATGCAGGTGTTCATGATCGCACAAAGCTTCGTCGACGTCCATTTGCGACCTGGGAACTTAGTAATGGCCCATCGAATTTGGAGAACACCAAACCCACGTTCGACATCTTTTTGTATAGCCTCCTGCATCGATGTGAAGAATCCGCTGGCTTCACCGATAGGATCTGGAATTGCTGACATGAATACAGCCCAGCGGGGATCTATGTACAACTATTAATCACACCGATCAAGCTCGCAGACTCGTCACAAATTCCATCGACCAACCAATATGGTGTTTTGTAGATTTGGTGGTTTACCACGTACGATACTTGATGGCATGCGCCATTGACGATGTCGTGCAGCTATAATGAACATTCAATCAATGCAATTCTGAATGTTATACTGTCAAACAAACCAAGCTAGAGCGTTGGACGACATTGATATCGTTCAATGAACCGGGGAATCCGACATGAGCATGCCAAAACCACAGGTCCCCATCCACTGCGGCCTCCAAGATGATCGAGGTTCCCTTGTGCCCCTTAAAAAAGACATTAATCCAAATTGAAGTGCATGAATATATTTCACACCTTGAATTGGCCTTGTTTTGCTTTTGGGCATTTATCCCAACGCCATGCATAGCAATCCAATGAGCCCGCGCAACCAGGGAACCCACGAGCAGCATTTATGCGCAATGTGCGCTCAAGATCCTCGGGCGTAGGAGACCGCAGATACACCGGGCCGTACTTATCAATCATGGCCTATATATTGTTCAATCTTAAGGAACTATTTATTACATGTGCATACTCAAATGTGGGTTATAATTGTACCTGGGCAAACTTGTCCAGGCATTTTTGAGCTGTGCTTTCGCTGATTCGAATATACTCGTCACAAGCGTCCGCAGGTGTACCATAAGCTAACTGGCGCATTGCAGCGGTG